TAACTCTCCGAAACTAAGCAAACTCCAAGTAAATACTTTCTTTAATAAGAGTTGCCCTGGTCGTGCTGTTTCCTCACAGCAATAGAACAGTAATGAAGATGAAGATATTCCTCTACCTTTAGCTGTGACTACTGAGACAAAAAATGGACCCCACGAAATTGGAATTCCCTCAGTTGGGAAGAAGGAAAGTGCAGAGGCCATGGTGCCAGCTGGAGGGGGAGCTTGTTTCCTGGAAAGAGATTGCACAAAAGTCTTATCATCTTGTCAGATCACCTTGTGGGGAGACTGGGGCCCAGACAATGGTGATGGGGGGGGGGATCACACCTTGTCTTAGACTCCTGAATTCTGCTTACCACCTGCCTTCCATTTAAACCTTAACCTTGCTGGGTGGTGGTGTCACACACCTTTAATTCTAGCACTTGGAAGGCAGAGGCAGGCGGATTTCTGAGTTTGAGGCCAGCCTGGTCTACAGAGTAAGTTTCAGGAGAGCTTGCACAGAGAAACCCTGTCTCAAAAACAAAACAAAACAGAAAAAAACCTTAACCTTATGTCATGACCCCTGAAGATGGCCTGGGAGGGGACATGTCACAGTACCCCCTTTCCCTCTTTGTTTTGACCACACTGAATAAGTCTCCCTTCTTTGTTTTTCATTATTTGTCCGTTTAGTTGGCCTATTGAAGACAGGGCAGCCAGGGTCCAGGCTGTGATTCTAATAACTGAGGTGACACCAGCACTTTAACACAAGAAGCAAATGCGTAATAGAACCTCACAAAAAGTCTTCCCAGTCCTTCAGAGGCACTGCGATTTTTTTTTTTTTTTATGGAAAATATATATAATGTGTGGACATATGATGCATGTGTGGTCCCATGTGCCATAGAGCCTAGGTAGAGGTCATGAGGAGAACTTTTTGGAGTCAGTTCTCTCCTTCCACTCTTACATGGTTTCTAGGGATTGCAATTTGAGTCACCAGGCTTGCATAGCAATTGCCATTACCTTCCGAGCCATATCCCTGGCCTAAAATTTTTAATGTAGGTAAACATTCAACATTTTCTTTGTGGATTATGCTTTTATGTTTTACCTCTTAGGCTAGACTGGCTGGTGAACTCTCTTCGCCTCTTCAGTACTGGATTACAAGTGTGTGCAACCACACTGGTCACTTTTATAGTTTCCAAGGATGGAATTCATGTTGTCTGGCTTGACAGCAGGTTTCCTTTACCCAGTGAGCTCTCATCTGCATAAGAAATTAAACAACATCCACCTTTAATAACCTGTGTTGGACTAGAGAGATGGTTAAGAAGGCTTACTGCTTTTGCAGAGGACCTTGGTTTGGTTCCCAGTACCCATGTCAGGTGGCACACAACCATCTTTAACTGCAGTTCCAGGGGATCTTATTGACTCCGGCCTCTGTGTGCACATAGAGTACAAACTCACATAAGCACACATATATACATGTAAAAAACATGGCTTCTGAGAGATCATCCCTCCTCCATCCTATAAAATTCCCCATGCTATGTGCTTACATTATGTGGTATTTCATTTCCTATAGCCTGCAGTGTAGCGGTGAAGAGGGATTGCCGTTAGTTTCATCCAGAGACTGGCAGTTAGCTAGTCTAGGTTTTTTTTTTTTTACTTCTGTTTTGTCCCTCCTTGCAGAACAGTCCTCAAAATCTTAGTGAGGGCCGCTATTGAGGGCCCATAATGTGGCCTTGTGCCTCCTACATGCCTGGAATTTGTGTAGGCTGCACAGGGGCTGGGAAGGAAAGCCCTTGGTCACAGCAGGGGAAAGCTTTGTCCTGTCCCTTGCACTTAGCCATGCCTCATCAGAAGCTTTCGGCATTCATGTAAGAGCTTTAATTTTTCTTCAACTTGAGTGGACTTAGTTTTAAAATTTTGTAGAATAGGTGTTGTCTTCCCTAGTACTAGAAATGTCTTTTGATAAACACATTCTTTGATGTTGTTAGCTTTGTGCTGAAGTGTGTGTCCTTTGGGAAGGAATTAGTGGGCTTTACAATGGGGGAAAGAAAACCTCTTACAGCTAGCTATCTCCCATGTCTCATCTTCCACTCTTTTCCTTCTTAAATTATTTCCGTCTCCCAAGTCTTCGTACCAGGTGCTCCGTTTGGAAGAAGTGAGGAAGAGGGTAAAAAAGATTTTGCTTAAAGGAAAGTGTGGCATAGTGAGAGTGAATGAGCATGGGAGGAGAGTAGGGGGATGGACAGAGATTACTTAGGCCTCATTTACACATTAGGACTTCCAGTGTGTCTTTTTTCTTAGGGCAGCCTTGAACCTGCTCAAGGATGTTTAGGAGAAAGCACTTCTTTCAGGGTGGTAGGAAGGAGAACTTTGTGGTTCTAGTCTCTTTTCAAATGTGTATGTTTGATCCAACTTAGTGTCGGGAGGGTCAGAGGAGGAGAAATCTCAGTCTTAACCAGTCATGCACTTGATGTTAAAATAATGAAAATTTGTAGGCTTTTACATGTGTATTTGTTTCTACTTACGGACTACAATATATATGTTTTATATACATTAATGCTAGAGATAATTTGGTCTGAAACCAGTTATTCAGATTTAAAGGGATATGGATTATATTGATTAGACAATCACAAAGTTATTTTTCTTGTGCTTCTGCATTTCCTGATTTTTTTTTCCCTGTGGTTACTTCATATTGGCAGTGATTATAAACATTAGTTCCATAGTGACTCTTGTTTCTTTCCTGTAATAATTGACACTGAAAAAAGAGGCTTTTGTCAAAGGGTTAAAATGGAATTGCTTCTCATGCCTTTAATCCGAGGACATGGGAGGCAGAGGCAGGCTGATCTCTGAGTTCTGGGTCAGCCTGGGCTATCCAGAAAAACACTCTGAAAAACAAAACAAAACCCCAAACCAAAACAAACAAAAAAGAAGTTGTTTCTGATTGTAGTTATCCTGCAATTACTGAGGTGTCTTAGTTTACATAGGAAAGCAGTCTGAACTAGTATGAAAGGCTGAGGAGATAATCTTCTAAGTGTTCTAGTTAGTGAGAACACACATTCAGTGTGTGTGTGTGTGTGTGTGTGTGTGTGTGTGTGTGTGTAGGTGTAGGTGTGTAGGCATGTGTGTAGGTCAGAAGACAATTTGTGGGAGTTGATTCTTTACTTTCATGTAGCTCCTAGGGATCAAACTTGGTTGTTAGGCATGGTGACAAGCACTTTTGTTAGCTGAACCATCTTGCTGGCCCTAAATTCTTACAGTAAAAGGCATATAGTAACCACCAATTGAAGATTGGGGTTGTTAGAATTATGCAATATTGTTTTTCAAGGAAGTACAGCTGAACTTTGAAGTTTACTTATCTGTGTCTTGTTTTATTACCCTGTTATTAAAAATTATCAGCTGGGCTGAGGATGTGGTTCAGTGGTAGAGCATGTCTAGCATGTACTCAGTCCTGGTTTTAACCCCCAGTACCACAAACAAAACATAATGCCAGGGTATGGCAGTTTACACCAGTAATCTCAGTATTCAGAAGGTTGAGGCAGTAGGGCTACAAAATGAGTTTCAGACCAGCTTGGTCTATAGAGTGAGACTGTCTCAAAAACCAACACACCAAACCAAACCAAACCAAACCAAATCAAACCAAACCAAACCAAACCAACCAACCAACCAACCAAGATTGGGGATATTGCTGGGAAGAATACTTGTCTAGAATGCAAAAGCCCAACACCAGAAAGGAAGATCATGTCCTGTTAGAAAGATATGTTGTTGATTAGATCTGTTTAATATTTAGAGGCATTACTGTTCCTGGAATAGTACTTGATAGCCTGGGTGCATGGACATTTTATTGTGGAAATATTTGTATGAGTCAGGAGAACTTAACTTTGCTTTACTGAGATATGATAAGATGCCTTTTGTTGTGTGTGTTATATTTGATGTCCTTTGTAGTGTGTGTTATATTTATTCATCTGCTATATAACTGATGATTGTATATGTATATGATAGAGATTAGAACCAGCCATTAGAGATACTTGATGGTAAGTACAATTGATGATGTGTGTGCTATAGGAGGTGTATTAGTACAGTTCTTATTTTTATTAATTTAAATTAATAATTATTATAATTTTTTAGGATTCTTATACATTTTTTTGCAGATCCTCGGATGCTGTAGTTTCTGGCAGTTGTGGGCTACCTAACATGGGTACTGGTGACTAAACTTAGGTCTCTGGAAGAGTAGCAAGTACTCTTAACTGCTGAGCCATCTCTCTAGCAACTTAACTATGTTTTGAGTCAGGATCTCATTGTATAGGCTGGTCTTCAGCTCCTAGTCTTCCCAGCCCCAAGGAGAATGCTGATACTATAGTCAAGTGCCACTGTGACCAACAATAGAGTTATTTTTAAAATTTTACACTTAAAGATAATTTTTGACATTTATTTTGTGTGTATTTGTGAGTGTGTGTACCACAGCATGTATGTGGGGATCAGAGGACAACTGGTGGGAATCAGTTCTCTCCTGCCACCATGTGAAAGTCAGGGGTCACACTAAGGTCATCAGGCTTGCCTGTCTTACTGGCCCAGCAATTGAGTTCTTAAATACCAAGATCAGGGCCTTGTAGAGAAAAACCTTTCTGTGCAAGAGTTAGATAACTCATGAGTCAGAGGCACCCAGAATGGAAAGATTTAAAAGTAAAAGTGGGTTTGAGAGAGAGTAGTATAATGTCAGAGAGCACTTGACTAACATGCACAAAGAACCACCGAATAAATGAATAAACATCGGCGACTGTGGCCGAGGCAAAGCTGGGTTAATGTGCATCTCTGTGTAGCGGTAAGCCTCCATTCTGTGAATGCGTTGGCTATGATGAGCAGATGCCAAGGTCAGGGGCTTCTGTTAGGGGAAGCTGCCTATTAGAACCCTCTGCTGTGTGTAGCTTCAGGACTACAGAACCCTTAGGGTAGGAAGCAAGAAACACAAAAACAATTCCTCCAAAGAGCCTTCTGTTTGATTTTTTTTTGTTGTTGTTGTTGTTTTCCAGTGATGCCATCTGCAATTTTGTCATTTGCAATGGTTCTCCCCTTCGAGGTCAGCCTATTATCTTCAATCCAGACTTTTTTGTGGAGAAACTACGACATGAGAAACCAGACGTGTTCACTGAATTGGTGGTCAGCAATATCACAAGACTTATTGATTTGCCTGGAACTGAGTTGGCTCAGCTGATGGGGGAAGTGGACCTTAAGTTGCCTGGTGGGGCTGGCCCAGCTGCAGGGTTCTTCAGGTCTCTAATGTCTCTCAAGCGGAAGGGTAGGTCTTATGTCTGGGAGGGGCAGTGGGTTTTAGCTGCTGATTGGGCTTTATTCTCTTCTGAAAAGAAATGTCTTTAAAAATTGTGTTATGAAGTGTACCTGCCAGCTTGTGCAGCAGGTATATGTAGGTGCCCATGGAAGCCAGAAGATGGCATTAGATGCCCTGGGACTGGAGTTACAGGCAGTTGTGAGCCATGCCAGGTCCTCTGCTGAGTAACAGTGCTCTTAACTGTTGAAGGGGGCTTCCAGGACTGCGCTTTATCCCGTTAACATTTTCACCCTCACTGGAAGTTGTAATTATCCTAAAGCATTTTCTTTCGTCTTTCCCTCACATTTTCATTAGTAGAACTTTAGACATTAATAATAAAATTATGAAACTGTCTAGGTAAAGAAATACTTAAACCTGGTATGGTGATGCAAGTCTTGTAATCTCAGCATTTGGGTGGCTGAGGCAAGAGTGTCTGAAGTTTGAGGGCAACTTGGACACATAGAAACAGGAAGAAGAGAAGGAGGAGAGGAGAGAAGGGAGAGGGAGAGGAGAGGAGAGAGAAAATATATATATTCAGTGCCTGAAAGAGGGTTTAGGCAGTTATCAGGGCATCTACGAATATTGTACTAGAATAACGTTTTTCAGGTGGCCTTCCCTTCTTCCTTTCCCTCTTGAGTTAGTATCTCACTGTGTTGTGTAGGCTGATCGCACTAGGCTCAAGTGATCATCTTGCCTTAGCTTTAGCTGGGACTACAGGAATGCACCGCTTAGTTCAATTACAATGATACTAGAGAAAATAAAGTCACATAGCAGGATAGTATAGTCAAGGAAGCCTGAAGATCAAAATATAATTGTACTCACATAGGAAATTCTCGAAGAATAAATTATATATATGCGTACATCTGTATTTTGATCCTGTCTGCCTTATTCCCCTCCAACTTCCTCTGTACTCCCCTTGAGTATATCCCCATCTGAGTTTCATGTTCTCTTTCCTTCCTTTCAGTTTGCTTATTTTAGACAGGATTTCATGTACATCCCTGGCTGTCCTGGAACATGCTATGTAGACAAGGGTAGCTTTGAACTCACCAGATATCTACTTGCCTCTGTTCCCCAGGGTTAAGATTAAAGGTGTGTGCCACCTTGCCCAACATTTTTTTCCCTCCTACGACCTAGCTGTCCTGGAACACACTCTGTAGACCAGGCTGGCCTTGATCTCAAGAGTTCTGCCTACCTCTGCCTCCTGAGTGCTGGGATTAAAGACAGGCACCACCATTGCTTAGGTTTTTTTTTTTTTTGTAAATAACTTACAGAGTCTAATTTGTGCTGCCTGTATGCACAGGGCTACGGGAACATGAAGAATTTACTAGTGGCTACACAATCAGAGAAAAATGGTTCTCCCTGCCCTAGCAGCTATCAGCTGCAATAGCCCCTCAGCTAGGGGTGGGGCCTGTAATGTTGATCTTGTGCAGGTAACTGTAATTGCTGTGAATTCCTAAGTACAGTGGCTGTTTCATGTCCAGAAGAGAGCATTTTACAGCATTCTTCTCTATCTGCTCTCTCTCTCTCTCTCTCTCTCTCTCTCTCTCTCTCTCTCTCTCTCTCTCACACACACACACACACACACACACACACACACACAGAGTTTCCTTTTATTTCAAGTTCCTTGAGTCCTTTGGAGAGAATGCTGATACTGATGTCCCATTTAGGGTTGAATACTCACAGTTAGCTATTCAAAGCACTGTGACCATTATGAGTCTCTACATTAACTGATGCCCACTTGGAAAAGAAGGTTTCCTGACTGAGAGCGGCTCACATCTGTAGCATAAACTTATAAAGACAGTTTGACAGCTTGACAATTTAGCAAAAACAATAGTAGGTTGCTGCTGAAGGCCTATGGACCTCCCCAGTCTTGGGCTTTTGACCAGGCTAATAGTTCCGGGTATGAATTCCCTCCTGTGGAGCAGGCCTCAAAGCCTACTTCTGTTTTCTTTTAATGATTTTATTTGTCCTGTGCATTGGTGTTTGCCTGCATGTATGTCTGTGTGAGGGTGTCACATCCCCTGGAACTAGAGTCACAGACAGTTGTGAGCTGCCATGTGAGTGCAGTGGAAGAGCAGCCATCTTTCCAGCTCTGCAGCACTACTTTTGATAAGGTATTAAATAAAGAGGCCCTGCTTTATTTTATTAAATGTGAGAAAATCACTAAGGCAGGATGGGATATTTAAACATTAAAGATCATATCCTGTGTCAGCGCTAGTGAATAATCACCATGACTTCACAATCATGGTTCAGGTTCTTTGTTTTTAAATTAAATCTCAATGTGCTAGGTTTTGTTTCTTAAATAAGGAAAAGTTGTTGTCTCCAGAAATTCATGATCTAATACTGAATTTAGACAGAATTGACTTGACATTTGTTCTGACAGCATTTTGGGGTGCATTTCTAGTTTTTAGTCATATATATATATATATATATATATATATATATATATATATATATTTTTTTTTTTTTTTTTTTTTTGTTTACCAATCTTGTGAAAACATTAATTGAAAGTAGAATGCTTGCATGCTCTTAAAATCATGATATTTGGGCTGGTGAGAGGGCACAGCAAGTAAAGGCATCCACTGCCATCCTGATGACCTGAGTTCGATTCCCAAGAACCACAGGGTAGAAGGGGAAAGCCATCTTTCTTAAGTTGTCCTCTGAACATCATATTTATCATGCCCCTGCCCCCTGAATAAATAAATATGGGTAAAAAGAATCATTACATCAATGACCTTGTACTCTTTCTGTGCTATAACCCTGTGATGTGTTTTTTCAGAAAAAGGAGTGGTATTTGGGTCTCCACTGACAGAGGAAGGCATTGCCCAGATATACCAACTGATTGAATATCTGCACAAAAGTAAGGCTACTCAAATATTTAATGAAGAATTGCCAGTTCTCCTTAGAGAGTTTGCTGATGGGTTAGAGATACCAACTACCCATCAACAAAGAATCATTGATTTTCAGGTGGTAGATTTTATAAATACATTTCCTTTTGAATTTCATGTCAATTATTGATTTGCTTTGCTTTCAAAGATGTAGGTAAAGTATATAATGTCTATGAAATCATAATTAGCTCGTAGACAATTCTGGAAGAATTCCTCATTCTTAAAGAATTATGACATCTTTTCAAGAAAGCATAGTATTTCCATCTTCAGAAATCTGTCATTAACATACACATGGAGTCTCACTTAGTTTTTAGTGGTCCTTCGTGTCATGTCATTGTTCTAAGAGTTCAGCACAGCCAAGAACGTGTAAAATGTGGAGCCTTTTATGTGACCTTATACATTTAAATACCAGCCAGACATCCCTCTCTGACTTACTGGGTGTGGGACACCATGTATGAGGAGCTCAACAGAGATTGTGGACTCAGGTCTTGAAAGGGTTTGTGGTGTCTGGATTTGTGGGTTTTTAAAGTTTTTGCATTTTTTTTTTTTTTTTTTTTTAAGTTTTGGCAAAGATGTGATTGAATTAGCAGCCCAGCTGCTGTGTGGACATGACCTGTGGAGCTCAGGGATGTGTTGTGTGGTTTGTTGTGGGTCCCCTTCATTCCTTTGCTGTCACTTGCCTGGCCCTGAAGTGGGGGGAATATGCAACAATGTAAACATGGACAAGCTTCTTCCAGATAAAACAATGTGACTGTCTACCTCTCTTTGTGACATCTCCTTACAGGAGCTTAGAGCCTAGTAAGGTGGGAACAGCTCACTTGGAATGACCTGAGCCTTTGGGAGTCTCTTAGCTACAGGGTGATCTGTTAGAATTCTGAGTCACATAGTAATGCAGAGATTCTGGGTTTATTCTTAGCTGAAGAAAACACTTGATAGGAGCCACAAACGCCCATACATGCACTCAGCTCCTTGAGAGTCTGAGGAATAAGCATAAAGGGGTATTGAGATGTGGTTTTATTTCATGTTACTTTTCAAGCTTTTTTTGGGGGGGACACTGACTGTTAAATTCAGTATTGAGTAGTTCCTCAGGAGGATAAATGACCATTGCAGGAACCTTTCAGTTTGAGTCATCTCTAGGTGCTCAGGGGGTCAAAAAGATTTCATGCTTCCCTAGAAATATTGGTGGAGCCTCCTTTATAAAGGTGCGGTGCAAGGTCTTTAAAGGGAAGCCATGTTTACACTGTATACATTAATCGTGACTCTCTTCTCTCTCCTATCGGCTGCCGTGCTAAGCAGACTTGCGAGTGGAAGGCTTGTTCAGAGTACCAGGCAACAGTGTCCGACAGCAGATTTTGAGGGATGCTCTCAATAATGGAACCGATATTGACTTGGATTCAGGAGAGTTTCACTCAAATGATGTTGCCACGCTGCTGAAGATGTTTCTAGGAGAGTTACCAGAGCCCCTCCTGACCCATAAACATTTCCATGTTCACCTCAAAATTGCTGGTGAGTATAAGAAGTGGGAAAGAGATGAAAATACTTTTTTCAATTTAGTCAAGTCCTTTGTGATCTCTTGTTGCCCATTACTCACTATGATGGGCTGATATTGGCTCAGACTTCATGATCCTAATGGCCTCCTCTGGCTACTTACAAATCTTGGCTAGTTAAGTTTGATTTGATCAATTGTTGTCTTCTTCCTCTTCATCTTTCTCCTTTTAAAACATTTTTTAAAAATTACAATTATTTTGTGTGTTCATGTGCATATGACATGGCATGCATGTGGAGGTCAGAGGACAAGTTTTGGGAATCAGTTCTCTCCTACCACGTGGGTCTTGAGGACTGATGTCAGGTCCTCAGGCTTGGCAGCAAGCATCTTTACCTTTTGAGACTTTTGAGACATCTCACTGACCTTATTCAGCAGTTAGAGCACTGACTGCTCTTCCAGAGGACTTGGGTTCAATTCCCAGTACCCATGAGGCAGCTAACAACTGTCTATAACTCTAAGATCTGACACCCTCACGCAGAGAAACATACAGGCAAAATACCCATGCATATAAAATAAAAATAAATAAATCTTTGAAAAATGTTTTGTCTGCAAGAACAGTAAGTACTCTTAACCTGTGAGTCATCTCTAAATCCCCTTAAATGTTTTTGATAAATTTCTTTTTTGATTATTATTATTATTATTATTATTATTATTATTATTATTTTAACTCCCTTTGGTTTTTCAAGACAGGGATTCTCTATATTGCTTTGGAGCCTGTCCTGGAACTCCCTCTGAAGATCAGGCTGGCCTTGAACTCACAGAGGTCCACCTGCCTCTGCCTCCCGAGTGCTGGTGTTAAAGATGTGTGCCACCAGTGCCCAGCTCTTGTTGATTTTTGTATCTCATATGTAGACCACCATAGTACTAGGAACATTTTAATTGCTCGATAAAGGTGTGCTTTCCCATTGGGTTGGACATGTCATTGGGTTTATTCCTCTCAGGTGGTTGCTGGTTCTGTGCTTTTGCTTTGGCTTGGAGTTTTTGCATGTATTTCCATGCTGAAGATGAGGCCTATCTCTGCCTTTGTAAGCTCTTCTTTTAAAAATATTATTTGCTTATTGAGTAGGCAGTTAACCCACATGTTCAAGACGGAAAAGCTTCTCTCCCACCCTGTTCCTCAGCACCAGCTCTACCCAGAGACAACCACTGCTGTGATGTCTAATGTAGCCTTCCAGAGGTGTTTGTACACTATGTGTATATGTTCTTTTCTCCCTGTGTTTATGTAATGGCAGAGTATTATACACATTGTTCTGTGTTTGCTTTTTCACTCACTGTACCTTGGAGACCGTTCGATTCTAAGCTCATAGTTCCCTCATTCTTTGTATCTATGTGGGAGGGAATTCATTCTTAAATTGAACAGCTATTATGGTACAGAAGGCTCTAAGTGTGCACAGTGCCAGAATCCATGCTTAGTTTTCCACCCATGGCATTCCTTCTCTCTCTTCCCACCCCTTCTCCTCCACCCTTCACCTTCTCTGCCTCCCTCCCTCCTCCCTCCCTCCCTCCCTCCCTCCCTCCCTCCCTCCCTTCCTCTCTCCCTCTCTTTCTCACTACCTACCTCTGTGAGCCAAGTGCACAGACATGCTTCCAGGCAAAAGACCCATACATTTAAAAAGAGACCCAAAGTGATTTCACTGTTTTAACACTCCCACCTGCAATAGAAGGGTTAGTGCTCCTGTTCCAGTATGTGTATTGTCGCACTTCTGTTCAGACCATCCTAGCAGCTGTGAAGTGGTGTCTTGTGGTTTCTGATAGACATTTCGGGCACACTCAGGCTTAGGCTTACTGACCCCATGTTTGACATCTTCCTTCTTTCCTTTCTCTTCCTTTTCCCCTTTTCATTGACAAGGCCTTGCTAAATTACCTCAAACTCACAATCCTTCTACTGCAGCCTCCTAAGTAGCTAAAACTGTAGGTCTGTGTCACAGTGCCTGGCTTGTGTATGTTATTTTCTTGAAAGGGATTCTATTCAGTTTGTTGTTTGCTTTTTTTTTTTTTTTTTTTTTTTTTTTTCCTTTTCGATAAGGTACCACTATTAGGAATCAAACTGCCTCTCAGTCTTCTGAGTGCTAGGCACATGGGTGTACATCACCACACCTAACCTTCTACTTAAATCTTTTTCACATTTTAAAAGTGGATTGTCTTTAGTTATTGAATTAGATTGACATTTATTTGTTGTATTTTGCATTTTCTTTCTTGTGCTGGGGCTCATGCTATACCTGCTAACATGTTCATAGTCACACAGGAAGTATCTTGCAAAGCTCATTGCCCATTTTACTTTTACAGTGTTGGTATTTGAATCTAGGCCTTTCTTATAAGGTATAATAGCAGTTTTGAATTTCCTTTATGATTGATTCTTTTATTCCTTTTCTTTCTTTAGTGAGACTGAGGAGAAAATAATAGCATTAACTTTTCCAGCTGGTTTATTCCTTTCTTTTCAATATTTCCTTTCAAGATTTGATGCAGTTTGATGATAAAGGAAATAAGACCAACATACCAGACAAGGAACGGCAGATTGAGGCCCTGCAGCTGCTTTTCCTCATCCTGCCTCCAGCCAATCGTAACCTGCTGAAGTTACTGCTTGATCTCCTTTATCAAACAGCGAAGAAGCAAGACAAGAATAAGATGTCCGCCCATAACCTTGCCCTTATGTTTGCACCCCATGTCCTGTGGCCCAAAAATGTTAGTATTGAGGGCAGATCTTCAGGGCTTGGTTTTCTCAGGCTGGGCCCCTCCTGTGGTTGTATACTGGTGAGGTTACCAAGGATCCAAGGTCCAGCCTTCATATTTATGAGGTTAGGAGCTTAGGAACCACCAGAGCTGAGGGGCCTGGTTCCTATAACCTCACTGATAAGTCAGTCTCTAGTAGCCCTGCATGGCCACATCTTCCTGGAACATTCTAGCTGCAAAAGAAGTTAGAATATTTGTTTTGGCTAGATGGTGTTAATCTCATCTTAACAGGAATGCTCCTTGGTAATCAAATTGATTTCTAATGATTGAAGGATTAATAAAAATTAATTTTTTGCAGGTTTAGAATAGTGTGATTGTATAAAATAATATTCCAAGCAGACAGTGCAGTCTAGCCTATGCCAACAGTTTTACTCCCATGCATTCAGTTTTCTTTCATAAAACTGAATGTGCTTCTTACTGGGGCCATGGCCTCATTAGTGGCTTACATTTTAAAATAGTTTTAAAATAGTTTGCTAAACAAATGTTTGACCTGGACACACAAAGCTCAGGTTCCTGCCCTTTCACAACATAGGCTTTGATGGGAGATGAGACTTTGAGTAGTTTATCTGGGTTGGAAACTACAACCCAGATCTGTACCTGTTTATTTTTGCTTCCTTTGTAAAGTGGGCATGGAGTAGTCGTTACCAGTTACCTCACAAATCATTAGAAAAAATAAAAATAGATTGTTATAGTGACTCAGGAGGCAGATCTCTGTGAGTTTGAGGCCAGCCTGATCTACAAAGCAAGTTCCAGGACAGTCAGAGCTTATAAACAGAGAATCCCTGACTTGAAAAGCCAAAACCAACCAACCAACCAACCAATCAAAGACAAAAGAAATAAGGAAAGGGAAATTAAGGAGAGAGGTTATATGCAACATTTTATCTTTGTAAGTAACAATTCAAAATTAATGGACTGCTCTGAGCTAAGAAAAGCCAGGGTTGGGTTAATGGGGATTGGATACACCTACATTTGTCCACATCAAGGAGCTCAAGTCTCATTGTGAAGGTTTTTGAATTAGCTCACCAAGTTCTAGAGGGCTGGATCAGAGCTTGTACTGCAGCCTGGAAGTGACCCTTCCCAAACAACCAACCAATGAGACAAAACCTCCAATGCTATACAGAAACAAGCTGTGGCTATAAAAAGAAGCATGTGTGAGACCTTAGGAAGCACAAACAGATAAAATTACAAGGATGAAGGCATGGCATAAAGAGATGCTGAAATGCTTAAAAAGGCAAGAGAAACAAGAGAAGGGATCAATGGCAGTTTGACTGTTTAGAAAATGTCAGCTCTAGGAGCATTAGTAGGTGGTCTCGGTATGAATGCCCCAATTTCCACAGAGCCACTGTCCTTGATGGCTGGGTACAGACTGTGGCCTTTCTTCTGTGTGTGTGTTTTGAATCCTAGGTTAGATTTTTTGCTTAGGCATCTGTGAGCAGAAGTAGGAAATGAAGAAAGCTTAAAGATTTCCTGTTCACTTTAGGGATACATGTCTGTGCTATTAATGTCACTTCAGGAGGAAACCTGCTAACTCAGAGCCTTTCAGTGACAATGTACTGGTGAGCCTTTCCAGTTCTTGACACCCTTTGTTTGGTCTCTTTCCACTGATTAGGTCACTGCAAATGACCTTCAGGAGAATATCACAAAGTTAAATACTGGGATGGCATTTATGATCAAACATTCCCAGAAACTTTTCAAGGTAGGTAAAGGATGGCATTTGGCTGGCAACAGGACAAGAAGATGGGGGCAGAGTGGGATCCTGGATGAGAGGCACTGTTTGGGATTGTAAGGCAGAATGGATGGTGGGTGGGCTAGAAACAGGAGCCCAGCCTTCTCTGTCCTCTGGCTAACTGACTTCATACCTTCATGGAGGGAAGCATGAGCTGGTAGTTGCTTAGTTGGGCAACCAAGCTGGGTTGCAAGCCGGGCATGGTGGCACAGGCTTTTAATTCTATTACTCAGGAGGCAGAGGCAGGCAGATCTCTGAATTTGAGGCCAACTTAGCCTATGGAGTGAGTTCCAGGACAGCCAGGGCTACTAGAAGAAACCTTGTCTCAAAAAACAAAACAAAACAAAAAAGAAACCAACAAAACAAAAAAACCCTAACCAAACCAAACTGAAATAACAACAATAAAACCCTTGCAAATAAATAGATGTCACATACCAAAATTAGCTCCAAGTCTGTACAACTTACTAATGAACTTATTTACAGTTAGAGCTGATACTTGAAATGGAACTGTGACATTTCATGTTTCATTTTCTGCTCTCAGGCTTGATTATATTTTATGTACTATCCACCACCCAAACCAAAAATCCATGACAGACTTAGAACTAGCTTTACATCCTCTTCCATAACTCCTGTCTATCACCTGTGTTCAGACCTTCCACACTCACTAGTATTTTGCTTCTTCCCTCTTCTTCATGCACATATACTGCACCCACATATGCACTTGTTTACATATATATGTGTGTGTGTGCACGTGTGTGTGTGCACGTGTGTGTGTGTGTGTATTTGCCTAGATTCTGTATAGGAGAGTACTTGTGGGTTATTTCTGAGTGTGACCTTGCTTAATAGTATACATTTAAGTCTGTCTATTTTCCTGCAAAATTTTGACCTCATTTTTCTTTAGAGCTAAGTAGTATTCTATTTTTTATGTTTGTACCAAATTTTCATTATCAGTTTATCTGTTGATGGACAACTAGATCAATTCCAATTCTTTTGCTATGACTAAAGCAGCAGTAAACAACTGCTCTGTGGTAGGGTGTGGAGGTCTCTGGGTATACATGTCCAGGAGTGAAATAGATGTGATATTTGGTAGTTCTATATTTATGTTTTGAGATAGGGTCTCTGTGCAGCTCTAGCAGTCCTAGAACTCACTCTGTAGACCAGGCTGGTTTGAACTCACAGAGATCTGCCTACTTCTGCCTCCCGAGTGCTGGGATTAAAGGTATGTGCCACCACCACCTGGCTGGTAGCTCTGTTTTTAATACTTTTTTGTCTTTTTATGATTGACTTACTTATTCAGCATATTGTCCTCAAATTAATCCACACAGTAACATGTGACAGCTTTTCCTTACTTAAGGCTGTATAGTATTCCATTGTGTATACAGCACATACTGCTAATCTATCCATATGTGAATAAACACTGAGATTGCATCTCTGGTAAACTGTTGTGAGTAATGCTGCTGTGAACATGAATGGTTAAACATTACTTAAACCATGCCTTTATTCTCTTTCTTTTGCGTTTGCTTTTTCTTTTTTTGAGGTTTCTCAGAGATATGCCTCCTCTGCCTCCTGAGTGTACACCACCACTGCCTGGCTCCTGCCTTTATTCTTTTTGGTATAATTCCTAGACTATATGGTAATACATTTTAAATGTTTTTGAGAATCTGCCACACTGTTTTCCGTTTCTCCTAATAGTAGAATGGGATCCATGTCCTTAATAGCCCCTTTTTTCCTGATAGTTTTTTTTTTGTTGTTGTTGTTGAGACAGGGTTTCTCTTTGGTTTTGGAGGGTGTCCTAGAACTTGCTCAGTAGACCAGGCTGGCCTTGAACTCACATAGATCTGCCTGCCTCTGTTTCCAGAGTGGTGGGTCTAAAGTTGTGTATCACTGCCTGCCAGCTCCTGATAGATATTCTCTGATCATTGTTATCCTAATGGATGTGGGGTGGGTGGGTCTCACTGTAGCTCTGATGTCTGCAGTGATGGGTGATGTAGAACATGTTTTCATATGTCACAATCACTGTTTGTCCGATTGCTGGCAAGACACAGTGGCCGAGGTCACTTTTTCATTTTGTGAAATGACAGGGTCTCTCTATGTCGCTCTAGCTATCCTGGAACTCTTAATGTAGACCAGCTTGGCCTCAAACTCACAGATATCCACCTTTCTCTGCCTTCCAAATACTGGGATTAAAGGTGTGCACCACCAAGCACAGCTAACTAAGGCAGTTTAGAAAAGACAGCATTTAATTTGGGCTTACAGTTTTAGAGTTAGAGCCATGACGGCAGAGCAAAGGCTGCAGGGGCCACTGAGAGCTCACAGCTTGATTTGCAAGCAGGAGGCAGGGAGACCCTGGGAATGGTCTGTATTTTCATGTTGGCTCATGTGAGTGCCACATGCTGTGTTTGTTTTTTAAAATATCAGCAACTGCAGTGTTATGTTCCTACAGTTTCCCATCAGATCTGTTGAGGTGCCTGTTGGGTGGGAATATGGTATTTTGGCAAGTATTTGGCTTTCCATAGTCATCTACCCTTTAGGTAATGTTATGATTCTCTTTCTGTGGCCTGAAAGAATTGTCTTATTAACCACTGAGCCCTGGTTTTCTTTTATACCCTGCTCAGGCTCCTGCTTATATTCGGGAATGTGCCAGACTGTATTATCTGGGCTCCAGAACTCAAGTATCAAAGGTAAGAACAGGAAACTGGTCTTCCAAAAAGGGAAGAATTAAGATTGGTGAAGTTTTAAAACAAAGTAATATCATCATTAAGCCAGTACTTTTAATGTTACAGCTCAAACTTATCTAGTCATTTGTTTTAGCAGGGACAAAGACTAAGAAGAAAGTTTGTGGAATTAAAAGGCCCCTATGAATAATATGCTTGCTTGTTTGCTTTCAGAAGTATACACATATACTCTCAAAATAAAAGGAGGAAAAAAGGATTTGTATTTTAGATTGCTTTCTGCTGCTGTGATAAAAACTATGGGTAGAAAAGGGTTTATTTCATCTTACACTTCCAGGTTACAGCCCATCCCTGAGAGAAGTGAGGGCAGTAGCTTAAAGAGGAAACCATGGCTGAATGGCTGAATGAAGGCTGCTTCCTGGCTCACTTGCTGGCTCATTGCTTAGCTAGCTCACTTGCCTAGAGATGGCGCCACTTACAGTGGACTGGGCCCTCCCACATCAGTTGTCAGTCAGGGCAATCTCTAATAGATATGGCCACAGGCCAGTCTCTTAAGGCTGTTCCTCAATGGAGGTTCCCTCTTCCCGGGAACTGTTGGTTGTGTCAAGCTGACAATAAAAGTTAGCCAGCAGCATTCGAGAGCAAATGAACTTAGAGAAATATATGATGCTTATTAACAGAAAATTACGTAAGAGCATTGAGCCGTAGCCATGAGAAACTGAGGAAGCCTAGCACGTGGCTGACTTGTATTTAGCCTGAGTTAGAGACTTGGAGATTATGTCTTATGCTGTGTTTTCTACTCCTGTTACTTTCTCAATCAACAAATATTTGGTGTGACTAAGAAACAACATTTTTTGCCTTAAAAAAAGATTTATTTATTTTTATTTTATGTGCATTGGTATTTTACCAGTATTCATTTCTGTATGAGGGTATTGGATCCCTTGGAACTTGAGTTACATGGAGTTGTGAGCTGCCATGTGGGTGCTGGGAGTTGAACCAGGGTCTTCTGGAAGAGTAGCCAGTGGTCTTAACTACTAAGCTATCTTTCTAGCCCCAGAAACGGCATTTTAAAAACTAGTTTAACTAGGATGTTGTTTTCCATGGAGACCTGCAGCTTTTATTCCTTTACTACTTTCATGTAGTTTGTGTGGAAGAGTTTGAGTTAAGGCCCAGCAGCTATGGGTTCTAGGGTAGGAGTATCATTTCAGTGTGTAGATGAAGTCAACTTTCACCTCAGATTTTTGTTTCTGTTTGTTTTTGTATTGCTTTGTCTGCTGGGCCTAATACTGTTGAGCTTACTTTATTGGATAGCAAGAAGGATTACTTGAGATTAAAAGGTGTTTTGAAAACTGAACTCAAACAGCTATAATTCTCTATGACAATATTCTAAATGCACATTGATTTTCTGGGCAGATCATGGAAATGGACCATTCAGAATCCTTTATTAATAGTTTTTCCTTTATCTGGTACTTGTGTTAGGGTTTTTCATATTCCTGCATGTAGTAGTATGTAATGGGAACCCAAAACAAAGCCAATAGGATGTATTAATTTGCTTTTTTATACATTTTTTCTGTAGGATGATCTTGATCTGACAACCTCATGTCATGCCATGTCCTTCCAGCTGGCAAGATCTCAGAAACGGAACAGGGTAGATTCTTGTTCTCAACAGGAGGAGACCCAGCAACATACAGAAGAGGCACTGAAAGAACTCTTCCAACATGTCCATAACATGCCAGACTCCACGAAGAAGAAACAGCTTATTAGACAGGTGCCTGGATGCAGGGGGATAGGGTGGGCTCTGGGGGTCACCGGGGAGCACAGTTAAGACTCTCCCTTAGGTTGCAGTCTCACTTGGAGCAAGCTTTGGCACAGCCAAAATAGCAGGCTTGCCCATGGAATTGCAATGTACTCCTGCCCTGGGGAGAGGTGCTTGGTTTCTGCAGTTAACTGTGCTTAGAATAGCTGTATTTTGACACGTACCGAGTTTGCTTGGAGAGAACCAGCAGTTCCAATGCTCCAGAATTTAAGTGCTGTGTGTTTTCTAGGTGAACAATTTAATTTCTGAATTTCAACTTTCATGTTTGTAAAACAGTAAGAGTAACATATGTGTCCCACTTGTAAAGGTGGAGAGGGTGGGCAGAAGTGACAGCTCTTGCTAACGGAGTAGTTTGTAGTTAGGAAACACCATAAAAGCAGGGTAGTGGGTATTAATCAGGAATTCTGGTGGCTGAGTTTGCTCATTTTGGGGTCTTGGAAGTAAGATTAGGTCTTTCATTTGCCATTTTGAGAACTCAAAGCATGGTTTGAGTGAATCCTTAAGACTTGGGAGTTTCTTGGGAAATTTGTCTGTCCCTCTTAGATTTTAGCTGCATAGGCAAGGTGAGTGCATCCCTGTACACACTCCCGGGATAGTCAACACATGAAAGGAAGCAGATATGCTTGGTGAGCAGTTGTGGAGGTTTCTGTCCATGACTGAGTGTCCCTGTTGCTGCTGGGCCTGTGGGAGGGCTGACATCATGGCATCATGGCATCAGCAGAGTAGGTGCTGCAGTGTATCTCGTGGTCAGGTGCTGCAGTGCTCCTTGAGGGCATGCCCCCAGTGAACTAAGACTTCCCAGCAGGCCCTCCTGCCTCCCCAGAGTGTAGTGCCATAGGATACCTTCCACCCCTGACCCCAGACCTGGCTTTGGAGGACACTGTAGACCCATCCACAGCAGGTCAGCTTTTTACACTTCTTGTTCAGTGAGTACCTTCTTTGAGCAAGATTGCCTTTATTTATTTTTTGGGCATCTCCACCATAGGACAAGATATAAAAAAGTATCAGACAATGTTGGAAACTGAGCTGTTCTCAACAATTGACAAAGTCCTGCACAAGTGTTTTATATGTGGCTATAGAGATGGTTTAGGGCCTCAGAACTTGAGTGTGGTGTCATACATCTGTAATCCCAGCAATAGGGACATAGAGACAAGCAGATCTTTGAGTTCAGTAGCTTGGTCTCCATAATGAGTTCCAGGACAGCCAGAGATACACAGGGAGACCCTGTCACACCCAGAATGAATGAGGGCATTGGCTAAAGACTGTACACTAACTGCATCTTCCTTTTTTCTACTGGAGATACGTCTACACAAAGAGCTGACAGCATTAAAAGTCTGCACTCAGTCTGTTTCCCATCACAGCAGTGAACTCCAGTCAGAGAGCTTTGATATTGGAGGAACACTCTGGCTTAGGAATGTAGCTCACGAGGCCCTGGGCTGGATCTCTGACACCTCATAAACTGGGTATAGCCTTCTAGGTTTATAATGTCATGACTTGGAAGATGGAGGCAGGAAGATTGGGAGTTAAAGGTCATCCTTAGCCATGCAGAAAGTTGTGGTCAGCCTCTGCTACATGAGAGTTTATCTTAAAAATAAATCTTGTCGTAAATCCTGTCATACAATTTGTTAAAATGAGGACTGCTGTGGGTTGTGCTAGTATCAAATACCAAGGTATTTGATGCAAAAATAATTCTGGTGTACTGTCAGATCTTAGACCAGTTCATAAGCATTCTGGATCTTGGTTTCTAGTCTGTAAACAGGGATAGTGAATGTCCCTTCTGCTTGGTGATTGCTTATCAATCTACTTGCTACATTTGTACAGACTCTTTGGCTTTCTGGGTATTTACACTCAGCTGTTGTTTGCCCTAGGCTGTCATTTTTTGATGGGGCAATATTAATAAATATACTCTGTATTTTCTTGTAGTTCCATAAGCAATCTTTGACTCAAACACCGGGGCGAGAACCTTCTACTCCCAGGGTGCAGAAGAGAGCGCGTTCACGTTCCTTTAGTGGGCTTATTAAGGTAAACCTCTGTGCCACTGCTGTTCACATGGGTCCTCAGGAAATCAGTGTCTTGTTTTCTTGTGTACAAACAGCTTAGTAGTTCTATACCTTGGAGTTCTATAAAGGGTTAATTGGTGAGGGTATAGAGTTTGGAAAGGCCTTTTTCCAAAGCATTTTACTATGTCACAAATGGATTAACTCTGTAGAGAAAGCAGCACCTGCCTTCCCTTCCTTCCTGTGTCTGAGGACAGGAGTCTCTTACTTACTTCCTGCTTTACATTACACACTTTTTTTTTTTTTTTTTTTTTTTTTTTTTTCTGAGACAGGGCTTCTCTGTGTAGCTCTGGCTGTTTTAGAACTCACTCTGTAGAGCAGGCTGGCCTCAAACTCACAGAGACCACCTGGCTCTGCCTCCAGAGTTCTGGGAGTAGAGGTGTGTGCCACCGCTGCCCAGCCACACTACACATTTCTTTATGTGGTTTGCTACCTGTGTGGGGAAGTGAGCGAGCTGAGCACCAGGTAAATTGTTGGACAAATGGGTTTTCTAAGACCCCAGTGAATTCTGATATCTTTAATTTTGATGAACTTAATGATGTCACTGTTGTTTTAATCTCTTTCCATATAGCATAGTTATCAGAAATCTTGATTTTGTATATTACTGTGTTGTTGCTGCTGTCCCTGTGTGCAGATTGCTGAACATGAGTGCAGTTAGTAAGTGTGCCATCAGGTGGCAGTAGGTGATTTGGTCATAGGGTTCTAATTTCAGTCCTAACTATGATGAGCTAACCTAGAGGGATTAGCTCTATCCTTAGTTCTACTTTTCTTTTAAAAACTGTTTTAACATTGTTAAAGTATATAAATCTACAAATATAAAGGATACTTTTACTAAAACTTTTTTGTGTAACAAATGTGTGCCTTTTAATTTCCTCCCTTTTATGCTGAAGTCATTAGCAGTTGCAATTTCATTTAGTCCTAATTTTGATTCTTTTTGTGTTTTATAGAGGTCTAGAAACCATTCTCCATCCTCATGGTTGGGGCCAATGGCCTTTGAAACGTGACACTTGCTGCTTAGAGAGTTTTCTTTGCTATCTACGATGGAATGAAAAGACAACTTGTGAAATAGGAGAGAATATTTGCAAGTCATGTATCTGGTTAGGAGATAATATCCAGAAAAATAGAAAGAACTTTCATAGCTCAAAATTGCTGAAAATCCAAGCTCATTATAAAACAAGCAAATAACCTGAGTAGAGGTTTCTCTCAGGACACACTCGTGACCAGAAAAGACAGGGAAAGGTGTTCATTATCATAATTGTGTAAAGCGAATAGGGCATGTGAGGCAGAGTCATAGTGCGGTCACTTCACACCCACCAGGGTGGCTCTATCCGCAAAACAGAAAGTTACAAATGACGATGAGGATGTAGGGAAATGAAAGCCCTGTATACTACTGCTAGGGATGTAAAACAGCAAAGCTGTTGGGGAAAACAGTATGACTGTCTCTCAGAAAATCAACAATAGAGTCATTTATGATCTACTGATTTCAGTTCTGTGTACATACCAATGAATTGAAAGCAGGGTCTCCGGGAGATATTTGTGTACCAGTGTTCATGGAAGCAGCATTTACAGTGATCAGAGGTTGAAGGAGCCTCACTTCCCATTGAAGGACTGAAGATGTGGGGTGTGGAGAGAGTGCAAGGTTCTCATCCTTAGAAAGGAAGGCGAGTCTGACACTCTCCTCACTGTGGTGGGCTGGGGATGCGACACCAGACCCCATAGGCCAGTCACCAAAAGCCAAGTGATGACCATTCTGCTTATCTGAGGGTGCTAAAGGGATCACAGTCATGGAGACAGGGAATGATTTGTGACTACTCATGGCCAGAGGAATGGAGGGACTGAGGCATTATCTTCTGTTTAGGAGGAATAGTGTGGGGATGGGTGAGCTGGCGCCGTTAGGACACTGAGGTGTACACTGAAGTGGGGAAGGTAGTAAACTTAGTTGTAGTTAAGTTCTTTTCCCTTTCTTTTTGAGACAGGCTCTCACTATGTAGCTCTGGCTACGTATAAGTGTATAATTGAAGCTGGATGGCTGTGGTTTTGTGGTTTGGCTTGAGATGTATTGGCCGTTATTGCTTGAAATGTAGGTGTTGCTATCTGTTTGACGGTTGCTTACCTCATTACTAAAGGAGTATTTGGACTTCAGAAGTACTTAGGAGAAAACATTTTAGAAATTATAATTGTTTTCTTTTTCTGTTTTTGGTGGCACCGTAAGCTGAATCCAGGACCTCATACTTACGAGCAAGCACTCTTCCATTGAGCCACACTCTAAGCCCAGAACAACAGCTTTAAACACAGATGTTGTAATAGCAAATTTTATAAAACTGAGGGACAAGGTGTTTTCATTATAAATGAGGAGACTTTTGAGCTGATAAAAGATACAGGCTTTTGCTTAGTAGCTCTGCAGTGAAAATGTTAAGTACCATTTTTGTTGGTGAGTGGTGCTGGTCCCTTGCACATGGCAGGTCCAACTCAGAGTGCCCTTTTGAAAATTCACTGGAAGCTTTATAGCTAGTCTCCTGGATCCTGGCATTCCCAGTTCACCATCCTCAGATGACTCCTGCCTTCTGGAGGGAGGGTATATAGGCCTTAGTTTTCTAGCACATTTGTGTGTGTGTGTGTGTGTGTATGTTTTAGCTGTTTGGTTTCTTAAAAATATAGCTATTTCATATCTAAGTCCTTTACAAATGAAAACGTTGGAAGCTAGTGAGGTAGTGGTAGCACACACCTTTAATCCCAGCACTAATAGGAAGAGGCAGGTGGATCTCTGTGAGTTTGAGGCCAGCCTGGTCTACAGAACGAGTTCTAGGACAGGCTCCAAAGCTACACAGAGAAACCCTGTCTTGAAAAAACCAAAAACTAATCAACTAACCAACTAACCACCACCACCACCACCACAACAACAAAAACTTTGGAGGCTGGTGAGACAGCTCAGCAGAGGACCTTGTTCCAGGCCAGAGCTCAGTTCCCAGCACCCACCTTGGGAAGTTTACAATTGTCTGCAATTCCACCTCCAGGGGATCTAATACTGCTGCCCTCTGCAGGGACCTGTACTCACATGTGATGTGTGCACACACACAAATAAAACAAAATCTTAAAAACATTAAAACTTGTAGAAATTTTCTTTCCTTCCAGTTGTACAGAGGTATGCCCGATAGTGGATCCTGCATCAACCTCTTGTTTTGGAAGAAGGTTGTTCTCTGTGATAGTCATGTAAATAGCTGATCACATTAGGATATTCTGGACCCTGCCATTGATAGTCATAATGTAGAGTTTAATGCTTTCGTTTTTTAGTTTGATAAATTTTCTTTGGTGTTTTAGTTTTGATAATGTTCTTGTCTTAGAATTCAGCTTTATTCTGCAGGGAAAAGGAGGAGGGGCTTCTCGGATAGAGTTGTTCCCTTGAGCTGCGGCAGCAGGTTATATCACACAGATTTCAGGCCGCTCAGAGGACCTTGTAGTTTTGCTCTGTGTATCAGTGGTCATGTGATCTCCCCCCCAAGTCCTGGGGCCTTTAGTGTCTGTATTAGAAACTCTAGACAAATTTCTGCATATTTACTGTGAGGATGGACAGAGAAGCAGAATCCTAGAGTTCCCTTAATGGGGAGAGGAAAGGACCCTTAGCAGCTGCCAGAGAGACTACTCCCTCTACAAACCCCAAGTCTCCAGGAAAGCCCAACTCTCAAGAGTGACTGGTGTTCCTTTCGTGCTCACAGGTGCACTGCTATTAGATCATATTAGGAAGGCTAAATTACCCAGGGAAGCAGTAGTTCTTGTTGCTTGCTATGTGCTCCCCCTCTCCTCCATCACAAGGCCTGGGTCTGTGCAGAGTATCAGGATGCTGAGGGGGATTTTTGTATTTGCTTTTGATTTTCTGTGTAGTTTTGTAGGCCAAGCTGGCCTGGAACTCACATAGATATGCCCGTCTCTGCCTCCCGAATGCTGGTATTAAAGGCGTGCACCACCACTGCCCGGCTGATGCTGAGGTTTTTAATTGAGGATGTTAATAGTTTTGAAGATCAGCACAGCTACAAAATAGCAAATGCTCATGAACAAAATATTTTCTGTTTCCAAATCAGCGCAAAGTCCTGGGCAATCAGATGATGTCAGAAAAGAAAAACAAGTCCCCTACTCCAGAGTCTGTAGCCATGGGTGAAATGAAGAGAGTCAGCAAAGAAAATATGAGCTTGGTAAGAGCACGTCCTTTCCCTGTCCTCTTGGGGGAAGAAGAGGCTGATAAGTAGGCTCGTGCTTGCTGTGCTGTGGTTTTCTGGCTCAGTCAGCACTGCTCAGGGCCTTTTCTGTAGGTTTTCACCAAATCAATTACACGCTTTGAGTTCAAGAAAGACATAGCATGTGCATTAATGTGCTTTCTGTGGCTGTGATAAACACACCAGAACTCAGGAGGGAAAGGGCTAATGCTTACAGCTCACAGTCCATCATGGAGGGAAGCAGGGGCTGAAGCAGAGGCTGAGGAGGAGCACTGCTTACTGGCTTGCTCCCGGTGGCTCACTAAGCTTCTCTCTCTTTTGGGGGGTAGAACCCAAGACTGTTTTCCCAGGGGACATCTCCACAGTGCCTGTGCCCTTCTACATCAATCATTAACTAATAAAATGCCCCATGTGCTTGCTTACAGGCCAGTCTGATGGAGGCATTTCCTCAGTTGACATCCTCTTCCCTGATAACTAACTTGTGTTAGTTGATAAAAAACTGACCAGCATAGATGGTTACAAGTACAGATGACCAATATAGCACAATGGCTCTGTAATCAGTTAATTCTTGCCAGAATGTCACAAGGCAGGTCCCTGGCTCTGTATCACCTGTGGGCAGTCCTTTAAGGTAGCCTAGACTATTTCCTTAAGCTAACGGCAGCCAATGATGATCAGAGAGGTATAATTTGCATCTCTGTAAAGAAGCTCTGACAGGGCTGGAGAGATGGCTCAGTGGTTAGAACACTGACTGCTCTTCCGGAAGACACAAATTCAATTCCTGGCAGCTCACAACTAATTCCCGTTCCAGGGGCCCCGGCACCAGTGCCACAACACCAATACACATAAAACAAAACAAAACAAAAGAAAAGAAAACAAAGCAGCACTGACATTTGAAAATTTAAGCCACTCTACAATTTTCTCATTGCAGTTCTTTTCCGGTTCTCCAACTGTCACAATGACGCCAACAAGATTGAAATGGTCTGAAGGGAAGAAAGAGGGGAGGAAAGGTACTCATTGTAATTGTCCTCCATTCTTACTGAGAATGTCCATGCTGAGAGTCCCCTCGAGTCACATTCCTCTTCCATGCATACTTTAGACCTAGTCAGTGAAGCTCCCCTCCTCCCCTCCCCTCCCCTCCCCTCCCCTCCCCTCCCCTCCCCTCTCCTCCTCTCCCCTCCCCTCCCCTCTCTCCTCCCCTCTCCTCCTCTCCTCCGCTCCCCTCCCCTCCCCTCTCTCCTCCCCTCCCCTCCCCTCTCCTCCCCTCTCTCCTCTCCTCCTCTCCCCTCCTCTCCCCTCTCTCCTCTCCTCCCCTCCCCCTCCCTCCTCTCCTTTCCTCTCCTCTCCTTTCCTCCCCTCTCCCCCTCTCCTCTTCCTCTCCCTTTCTTTTCCTTTCCTTTTCTTTCTTTTCTCAAGACAGTATTTCTCTGTGTAGCCTTAGCTGTCCTGGAATGGGCTCTGTAGACCAGGTTGGCCTTGAACTCAGATCCGCCTGCCTCTGCCTCCTGAGTGCTGGGATTAAAGACCTGTGCCACCACTGCCTGGCATCACCAAAGCTTTTCTGATGCAGAAGGATCTTGGGACTCATGTTAGCATGATTTTGAAGCTCTTTAGTACAGAGGGGATTATTATTATTATTATTATTATTATTATTATTATTTTTGTTTTTGGAGACAGGGTTTCTCAAAGAGTGAGAGGATATTTTAGTGCCACGATCACGGACTGCTCTGAGCTCTTCTGTTGAAAGGCTGCAGGCATGGTCTGCATATTTGGAATCTCAGCACTCAGGAGGGACAGCTGGAGGATTTCTGGAAGTTCAGTTACTACTTGGTATATCAGCAGCAGAAAGAGGATAAGTGTGTTGGCCGTGTAGCTCCGAGGTAGAGCACACATGTGAAGCCTTGGGTCCTAAGCCCGTCATAACAAAATCATGGTGATGCAGCTTTATTCTTTTCTAGGAAATTCCGCTTCAGTATGGTCTCACTTTGATGAATGCCTGAGCCCACCTCTCTTCTTCCCTTCCTTTTGCACAGAATTGTGCTATGGAAGCAAGCTTAGTATTTGAGTTATTCATATCCAAATATTTAAAAAATTCACAAATCAAAGTATGAGTTATTTTTTTAAAGAATATACTGTATTAATTATGCCTTTTGCTATTTTCATTTTTAAAGATAAGCAGAAAGTCATTTCTCTATCTTGACAACTCTGCTTTGGGAGGAAAGGAAGGAGTTTCTTCAGGAGAGTAGCGGCCCGCAAATAATGCATGACATTTTGGTGGATGAGGAATGGTGTCGTCACATGTCAGAACCTTCCTTCTCTCTTCTGGTGCCTTCATCTGGTGTCCTAATGACACACCACTCTTGTCTTCCTCTTTAACCTTTCCCCTGGTTACTATGGGTTACTGTTACAGGCCAGCCCCCTGCTTCTGTCGGTTTTAGTTGTGGTGATGGGATTGAACCCAGGGCTTCACACATGCTCTACTATTGAGCTACATTCTTAGGCAGCCCCCTCCCTTCTTAGATTTTTTTTCTTTCCTTTTTGAGACATGATTTCTCTAAGGTTCCCCAGGTTGGCCTTAAGCTTGCAATCTTCTTACTTCTGCCTCCCAAGAAGCAGGGATTTTAGGCATTATATAGAACTAGCTTGCTATTGGGTAATTGAGTTAAATTCTCTACTCTTCTCTCTTGCTTTTCCCTACTTAGGGCCTTCATCTGTTTCCACAGCTCACTCCCAAATAGCATCTTTAGGTCTGAACTCTTCAGTCTCCAAGCTTGCAGCTCAGGAGCCAGCCTGCCACGTATCTCTTACAGAACAATGGATACAATCCTGGCTGTTCTTGACACTGATGCTGGAATCACCCCCAGAAGAAACAGTGCACTGTCACTGTCACCACCAATAGCTTGGTGGAGACTTCTGTTTAGCCAAGGGCTTCTTAGCCTGGCCACTGTTGACACTTGGGTCATATTCCTGTGTAGAGCTGCCTTGTGCATTGCTGATATCTAGCGGCTTTGATCCAGCAGATGCCACTAGCATCCTGCCCTCTGTTTTGATTATTACCAGTGTACCTTGAGGATACAGGGGCAGAATTACCCCAGATAAGAACACATGATGGGGCGCCCACTCATCAAGGGGCATTCTTTGCAGTAGTCAAACCTTTCCAGTTCTTCCAAGTCCAGCTGATCCTTCCCTCCTGCTCCTCTTTGAAGCCTTGTCTGGCTAACTGAGCCAGACAGAAGTAACTTTCCATTGAATTGTCATCACTACTGAAGAACAGACATTGACTATGATGTATGATAGTTACCTCGTCTGCACTGTCATATCCCTGCATCAAGGAGGCAAGGGTCATAGGTCAGACTTTAGGATAGATAGGATCAGTGTTGGAGTGCTTGCCTGGCACCTGCAGTGTCCTGGGTTCAGCGCCTTGTCCCGCCAGCACACACTCATGCACACCCACACGCCTTTAACCCTTTTGCTCTTGTCTTTGTCTCGGCAGTGTCCGTGGCTTGCTGCTCCTGGTTTAGTTAAATGGCCTCTGGTGAGCAGGGCACAAGCTCCACACTCACTTAGACTTGGGTCAGCTCCATCTTAGTGCTTGCTGGCTTTCTACCCTGGGCAGGTCAGCTTCTGTGGGCTGCAGGCTCTGCATCTGTGAAACGACAGCACACCTCCTCCCGTATCGGGAGCAAGCTGGATGGAAGCAGAAGCAGACATCCACAGCTAAGCACTGACCAAACTCCTGGAACCCAGTTGTAGAGAGGGAGGGGTGATGAGCAAAGGGGTCAAGACCATGCTGGGGAAACCCACAGAGACAGCTGACCTGAGCAAGGCTGACAGCTGGGGAACTGGCATAAGACCAAACCTGGCCCCTGAAAGTGGGCGTCAGCTAGGAGGCCTAGGCAGTCTATAGGGCCTCTGGCAGTGAAACCAGGATTTATCCCTGGTGCATGAATGGACTTTGGGAGCCCATCCCCCAAGGAGTGATACTCCCTTAGCCTAGGTACGTGGGGGGGGGGGTGCTAGGCCCTGCCCCAAATAACTTGACATGATGATCCCTCATGGAAGGCCTCACCCTCCCTGGGGAATGGATGGGGGGTGAGGGGACATGAGAGGATGGGAGGGAGAGGAAACTGGGATTGATATGTAAAATAAGATTGTTTCTAATTTAAATAAAATTAAAAAAAAAAAACAACAAAAAAAGAGCAAGCTGGGATTAACCAAGCAGACTTGATGATATTTACATGGTAGAGGGTCAAACTCTCACATTATTTAATCCAAATGTGGAGAAAATACTAAAGTATAGATTCTGTAGCTTTTAGATGGGGCATTTAAAAAAAAATGAATGTTTTAATTGATGTCTGATCCTCTTGTTTCTGTTTTCACCTAGGGTTCCTCTGAAGGGTCACTAGAGTTCCCCTGTTGTTCACGTGAAGTTCCTCTTTGGTGGGACAGGTGATATTCTCTTCCCAGTGAAGTTTGCAGCTTGCTTTCTGCATTGAAAACTGTGAAAGCCAATCGAACCACGATGAACTGACCCCTCTAACCCTGTCACTGGTGTCTTTGAAGCTGTGCCTCTGAGAGTGTGCTCTGCTCTGTGTTTGTTTCTAACATCAGGAGCCACTGGACACCTGCCAGCTTACACAGTGCAGTGGGTGGGCCCAGCTGTGCTTAGTCAGTGTGCTCAGGACAGTTCTGTTTATTCAAAATAAGAAATTTATGTTTAATTGCTAGTAATAGTTTTTAAAAGTCCTGTTAGTCTTAGTGGATTGCTCTACTTTAATTGGTATTTGGGGCTTTTCTCCATGTTGTTAATAGTGAGTAATTGATTGTTTATTTACTTGTTTTAAAAGCCATTTAGATTCATTTCCTAGGTGGATTCTAAGTTAAATGCCTTTGATACTTTTCATTTTGAGCTTGAGAAATCTCTTTATCTTATTTGTGTTCAAAGGATTACCATTTCTTGTGTCTAATATAGGGCATTTGACATGGCCATGAAAGAGAGTTCAGTACAGTATATTTTAACAGGTTTCAGCTATTAAGCTGCACCCCATGCCTCACTATCTTCCCCTCAGTGATGTGGGAATAGCTATGTGGTTAACTTGCTTCCTTCCTTAGTGTCCTCTCATCCAAAACATCTCTGCTGCCACTGTAAGACTTTATGCCAGAGCCCTGTGACTTGGGAAGAGTCAAGATCTGCTACCCAGAGTGTGCTGCAGTCTGCAGTAGCCAGGAGGGGCTGGTTGGCTCTAGTAGTAGGTTCCTGTCCCACACTGCTAGGTATCAAATATGCCATTCAACTGTCTCCTGAGAGCAGCTTGGAACCAGGAAAGAAATGCGCAGCAGTATTTGTAGATCTGCAGGATCTAATAAAGAGTTCCCACAGGAAGCAGCTGTGTGTCCCTGGTGATCTAGGACAGTTGCTCACTGCCTTCTTGTCAGGGTGGGCACAGGAAGCAAGAGCCACTGCCCACTGAGCGGCAGGTGGTGGGTGAGGCCGGTGAGGCATGGGCTGACTAGAACTATGCAGCCATTCTCAGCCCACTGTGGGGAACCAGGTACACAGCAAAATACGGTTTGCCAACCTAATGATAGACAGTTGAGAATGCTGTGTTATTGCTGTGTCTGTCTGCCACCCCACTCTTCCATACTATACTGTTTATTTTATTGTATTCACAGCAGTGGTAAAGGAAAATGTGGTTTTGGCCTTCCAGATGGATAGTTTGGGAGCAGTGGTGGTGTTTAAGTTCCTTTCTCTACAAGTATTCTAGGTCATTCTTAAAGATCTTCATTAGCAAAATCAGTTGTCTAGGTTTTTTTTTTTTTTTTTTTTTTTTGCTTGTAGTTGTTGTTGTTGTTACTAAGAAAAGCTGATTTCTTTTTAAATAAATTTCTTGTACCAGGTATATAGTGAGGTCAAATAGAAATCCTTTTGTATCACCAAATCTAAGTAGTTCTCTCCCCCACCCCCCACCCCCCACCCCCGCATGAAGCTTGCTTTATGTATGTTCCACCATACTGTAATGTGTCACCAGATAGAGAGAGTCGAGCAATGCCATGATGTCCCCAGGGGTTTGCCTTCTGTTAGAGAGAGAAAGGGAGGATTGAGGAGATGGGTGTGAGCAATGACCAGGGGTGGTCTGGGGAGGGTGGAGAGAGACAGTTACCCCATGCACATGCTTGTCTGTAGCTGGCCTCTTGGGCAGTGTGTTTTATTTATTTATTGGATACTCAGTCTCTTGCCTTAGGGATATTATAGGTCATTTTTTTTCTTATAGAAGCTGTGATCCAGTGCAGAGTAAACTTGAGGAAGCACACAGTCTTCCTTCTGTGTCTTATAATATGTACCTATTCTAACCCTGTGGTGTCTTCTGGGAAACTGAGACAAACACTTCATTGTTGCTCCAGAGGGTTCTCTTGCCGTTCTGACAGGGTGTACAGTTACTTTTTTTGAGCCAGTATTTAACTAATGTTTTTAACCTGTGTCTTTTGTTTTTTGAGACAGGGTTTGTCTGTGTAGCCTTGGCTGTCGTGGAACTTGTTGTGTAGACCAGGCTGGTCTCGAACTCAGAGACCTCCTGCTTCTGCCTCCCCAGTGCTGGGATTAAAGGAAGGCTTGTGCCACCAGTACCCAGCTAACCTATGTCTTAAAGAATATTTGTTGTGTTTATTTTTCATGTTGGAGCAATCTCTTGGAAGTACCTTTCCTTTATTTCTGGGGTTAATTGCCACAGGCTTTGATGTTGTGTCAACATAGGGTAGTATATTTTTGCCAGGGGGACACAAGTCTGAAGAGGCAGACCATGTTGGATTTGGGTCTGCACTGGGTGGATGAGTAGAGACTGCAGCCTTTTTCTCATCTTTCACAGAAGTGGATTTCCTCACTGAAC